TCGTATGAAGAAGGTCTACTAGCTCATATCTGGTTATATCGACCACATACTCAACTAGAAACATATCGACTAGCTAAAAATAATAAATTTTCAAAAGTAATAACATCATTAATTAAATATTGTATTTTAGAAAATTTATTTCAAAATATATTATGCAAACCTTTTTTTGAAAATAAGCCATACCTCCAGTCCATACACCATTGGATTGAAGGTTACCACCTGATTTGTGGTCCAATACACGTAAATAACAACTGTTCATATAAACTATTATATAGGTATTTAAATTGAATTTTAAGTTTATAATTTAAACAAACAAATCACATAAACAAACCTTATGTTTAAAAATTTTTGAATTATCGGTAAGATATATGCAAAATTATGACAAAATTTGCCCGTCTTATCATTTACTCTCTTAAACTAATTTGAAAATAATATACTAAAAACATCATTTTAACAATTTAACAAAGTAATACCGCTTTTGTGGCTATGCCTATTACAAGGGTAGAATTGACTGCCCTTTCATTATTATTCAGTAAAAGTTGATTCATTTTCAACGGAACACAAAATTGAGACATTTTTAATCAAAATTAATGATTCATTAATATCAAATTATACTTTTTTTTAAAATTACATTTTTGAAAATCTCTGTAAATTATTTTTATTATTTATCACTGTAACCAGAATAATATTGTTAAAAGAATAGTAAATAAAAATATCTATTTTATTATAATAACAACATAGTATGCATAATTACTAAATGCCAAGTAATTACAATGTGAATCTTAATTAACTTATTTATTGATCAAAGTAATTTGACAAATAAGTTTGCTTATTTGTCGCAAATAATCAATATTGAGTACATGAATTCAATTAATGATAATCGATATATTATAATAATTAACACAATAAATGAAATACTGTATAATTAATATTAAGATGCTACTTTGAGTCATGCTTACAAATATTTTTCATACATGTTCACAAAATGTAATTTACAAATTATATTGATATAAAAAAAATAAATATTTATTTATAATGTTTTATCAAATATTTCTCGTAGTATAGGTCCCATACGGGTTGGTTGGCTTTCGGTGCCATTCCTCCATAAAATACCACTTAATACACAAATATCTGGCATTATATCCCATAACTCCCTAAACTTTGCGTTCGCCTCATATTCTGAGCGATACTTCAATAGGTAATACCGTCGGAGTAAATGTATGTATGATCGCTGTTGAAGTCTACATGCAGTTGAGTATCACAAACTTAATACAAACTTTTGAACCGACTTTTTAAAATTTATAACACTTACTTAACTAACTGTTTATGAGTGAGGTTTGGACGGTTGGGGTTGAATAGCAGGATAGCCGTCAACTAAATTAAAAACCACATATATAATAATAAAATAAAAACAAATCCAAATGAAATAATTTCTAATTACCAAATGCATAATAACCGGATCGTTACGTACTAATGGCATCATTTTACCCAGGTAATTTTTGTAAGCCTCGTAAACATGATTTCTTTCATTCCTTAAGAATTCTAAATGAAGTAAAAATGAGTTGTTGTCGTCCTATTGGATTACAATGAAATATAAATGATTTATATTATATACAGTATGTACAGTATTTAAATTTATATGAATACATACTAAATTAAGAGTGAAAAACTGTGTGTCCGGATCAAATATTAGCGCCGATCTCACACTCAAAATCTCAATCACTCCATATTTGACCAGGGCAAGCTTATCATTTTCACATAGCCTCATAAAGCCACCCAAATTGTTTGTTAGTTTAAAAAAGTTTAATATTTCCCTGGTCCATTTATACGTTAATTTCACGTGATATTCATCCATATCATTAATGTTGGATATAATGGTAGTGGTTTGTGGCTCCTGGATCTGATTCGTGGCAAACAGTATTTCTGTCAATTTATTGCCCTCTAATTCATTCAATTGGTTCCTATAGTCAGTCAATGGTCTCGGTATTGATATAACTGATGAATTGCATGGATCTGATTGGCACTCAGTGTCTAAAATGTTTGTCATATTTGTGTCCGAATAGGAGTTTTCGGTCTCAAAGACACTGAAATCAAGTCCTTCCTCACTATGATTTTGATCCTCTGGTACTTCAGACACAACTGTCTTATGCGAGGAATCATTGGATGAATCGGTGGTGGAGTTGACGATGTCTTCACATTTACCATCAGTTTGTTTCAGTTTGATTCGCTTCTCATTTAGTTTCAGTTTATTCATCATTTTCTTCTCTTCAGAGAGCATTAAATCCTAAATAATCGACAAAACATGCGATCAATTCAAATAAAGTCTATATTTGAAAAATAAATTTTAAATACAGTTCTCATTCCGACGTCAAAACACTTTTTTAATCGACATTTTCGGCAGAATTTTCGCGTCAATAAAGTTATATCACATTTGTCTGCGAAATGACAGCTAATTTCCTGTGAATACAAAGACAATAATTTTTAAAACATTTAGTTTTGTAAATCTCTTTTCAATATTTACATCATATTTAACGGCATTTCGACGGAAAAACGCTTTACACGACACACAACTGATTGCACCGAAATTATAATCTAGGTAAACCACAATCGATATTAATATTAATAGTATAGTAAAGCGGTTATAATAATTATGATGAATGTTTAAAATGATACAATTATTTGTTACAATACTTACTTGCTGCTATATCACCGCAAACACTACACGTCTTGTTGAACTTTCTATTATCGGGCATTTTCACCAGTTTACATTATTAGTTAATTGTAAAATAGTTTAATTTACATTAAAACAAGTAAAAATGCGGATCCATGTTATTAAATCACACATAAAATGTATAATGATAATATTATCATAATATTCTGAGCATGTTACTAAGACAACAGCAGAATACAAGTGCACAATTAGATTACTACAGAACACCTTAAATTATAATACAATTTATAATTATTTCACTATGAAGTTGATTTGATTAAAATATAACTTACAAAAAAATTATAAAAATAAATAATAATTTACGAGGAATGTACTGAATGTTGATATAAAAACAATATTAATACTTCAATACAATGTAATTATGTATTCATTGGAGTTTGCGTTATTCTGTATGTGAATTACAATTGCAATCATAATAATAGTCACATATGATAGAGGATTAATTAATGTGTATAAAATTAACTTTGCTGTGATTACTGTTGACAAGAATTTTAAAAATATAATGATGAAATGGCTGACTTTTAAATAGAAAGTTTTTGCTTGTCATAATGTGTATTTAAACAAGGATGTACTCGCAACTAATTGCATAGCCTCAAGGCTAAGTTCAATGAAAAAAATTGTATAATTTACTACTGTAATATACGGAAAGTAGTATTTTCCTTATGTTGTATAGATTCTTGAAATTTTTTATTTATATAAATATAATTGGTAAAATATAAATTATTATATTCATTTATTATACCCCAAAACATAGAAATAATTCAAAATTAGTAATGTTTTATATTTTAATTAAATTTAATTAACAAATATTTTTATACATTACAAGATAAGACATGTGTCAAATGGAGTAATTAAATGAACATCAAAGGCAATATACAATATAACAATGTACAAGGTATTATACCAGAAATTATTATACATTGCCAGAACAGAGATCTAGAATTAGAGTAAATTCTTGAGAAATTTGGCATGTTAATTATTTTTGTAAATTATATACAAATTTAGCAAATGATTACAAATTATGAAAAGTTTGTGCCAAGATTATTGTCTTATTATCATTATAGATCTCATCGAGAATTTCACCGCAATTTGTGTGCTCCTCTTCATTATGCAATTCAATGAACTTAACATATAATATATTCAAGTATTTCAAACAATTTAAAAGTCTTATGAACTTTGATTTGCCCGCACATTCCGATCGGTACAGCAATACGAGGTATCGGCGAAGTAAATACATGTAAATATTTTGTTGTAATCTATATGTCATCATTAAATTAACAGTACGATTACTTAATTATATTCTTGTAACTTATATTTATCTTGTTACTTACTTAATATAGTCTTTATTTGTAAGATCAGGTCTATTCGGATCGAAAAGTATTATAGCAATGAGCTGTAATGATATAACATTGATTATATTTTAATATTATAGTAATTTACAGTAACAACAAATTGTTACCAGATCTAATATCGCTGGATCTGAGTCCCACTCACTACTCATTTTTTGATAGAAATTATTCATAGCCTCATACAGTACTGGTTTATGTTGCTTGAATATATCAAAGTTGACAATTATTGACTTGGCATTGTCCTGGAAATTATAGTTTTTAAACATGAAATTAATTTTAATTTATAAATAAGTGAACTCACAAATGGGACAGTTATGCAGTGAAAGTTATGGCTATAATCGGCGATTGACTTCATAATAACCAACTCAATGGACCCGTACTTAATGAGCGCCAACTGATCCAGTTCACTCATATTGGTGAATGAGCTCAAGTTTTTGGCCATTTTTATGAGTCGCCGCACCATTTGGTCGCACCCTATGGCCAGCACCTCCATGGCATCCAAGTATGTATTGGCCTCAGACGTGCTCGGGGTTATATCCATTTTCAAAATGCTCGTGGCGTTAAACAGTTCACACAAATAATTGCTTTCCATCTCATTAAATGTGTTCATATAGTCAGTGATGGGTCGGGCCATAGGTATGGGTGCGAACTCCAACTCCACGGCCTTTTCGTAGACGTCGTCCGATATATCGCACATCTCTTTGTCAGTCAAATAACACTCAATATCCATGACTTCGGCGGTGATTCTCTCATCGCTGATGATATTACTCTCAATTATTTCCGACAAAATGTCGACACTTTTAGCGGCAATCAGTTGTTGCGATAAATTGCCAGCACTTAAAGAGTCGGTAAACTCTTCAATGTTTTGTGATTTACTTTTGATATCCTTTTCTTTGTGTCGTTTTTCTCGTAATTTTCTCTGTTCTTCAGTCAGAATCCAATCCTTGTATTAAATTTAGGTTACATTACGCCGCACCATTTGGTCGCACCCTATGGCCAGCACCTCCATGGCATCCAAGTATGTATTGGCCTCAGACGTGCTCGGGGTTATATCCATTTTCAAAATGCTCGTGGCGTTAAACAGTTCACACAAATGATTGTTTTCCATCTCATTAAATGTGTTCATATAGTCAGTGATGGGTCGGGCCAAAGGTATGGGTGCGAACTCCAACTCCACGGCCTTTTCGTAGACGTCGTCCAATATATCGCACATCTCTTTGTCAGTCAAATAGCACTCAATATCCACGACTTCGGCGGTGATTCTCTCATCGCTGATGATATTACTCTCAATTATTTCCGACAAAATGTCGACACTTTTAGCGGCAATCAGTTGTTGCGATAAATTGCCAGCACTTAAAGAGTCGGTAAACTCTTCAATGTTTTGTGATTTACTTTTGATATCCTTTTCTTTGTGTCGTTTTTCTCGTAATTTTCTCTGTTCTTCAGTCAGAATCCAATCCTTGTATTAAATTTAGGTTACATTCAAATTATTGATAAATTATATTTTAAAAAATAGTAATACTTTTTTCATGCCGTATTTAAAACATTTTTTGAGTCGACACGACCGGCAAAATTTTCTGGTTAATACACTTATGCTACAGTTGTTATTAAAAGGACATTGGTACGGCTATAGATAAAAATAATTTAAATTTTTAATTATTTGGCACTATATTGAATAAATGAGTAGTAAATAGATATAACAAATACTTTATTGTTGAGTGCATTTCGTCTAAAAAATGCTTTACACGACTCGCAAGAGATTACATCAAAGTTTTTACCTGGACATTAAAAATGTTATATGATATAATTAATTATATTTTATATAAATAGTAAGTAATTTCTTACCACTTGCTTTATCACCACAAATAACACACGTATGGTCAAATGCTTTTTTGCTCATTGTCAGTTACCTGAATATTAATTCAAACAAGCTTAACAACTCAATGAATAGTTATTTAAATAAAGAAAATAAACCATTAAAACAGATTTATAAGAATTGTTTTTATATTTAAAAATGAATTCATGATTATTTCTCAGTAACACCAGTGTATAAACAAAGTTTTTTAGTGCATTTCTAGTGTAGCGTTTGAATTAATGGTTTCTATAGCGACTTACCTATTGTACAATTAGAGATAAATACAAATATAGTTATATTCTTTGGAGGTATCATTCAAAATAGAAAGTAATTACTCCGTTGAGAATAAATTAACTACAATTGATTTTTAAAAATTAGATTAAATGTTTAAATCAAAATATAAGCAGTATATTATAAAGTACCAATTACAAATAATGACAATAATCACTTGTATTTCACTTTCTATATTTACTTGTGTTTTGGTTACATTCAGACGTTAATTATCTACTTCTCTCCCAAAAACCTGTTAAGTTATCCTTCAAAAGTTGTAGCAAACATTAAAAGTATACTTAAAGTACTGTACATTTCAATAGGTGCTTAACCAATTCTTTATAACTCATTCATTTTATTTACATGTAAAGCATTTTTACATGTTTTAAAAGTTTTTACATATCTGTATCTGTATACAGTATTAATTAAGTAACAAATATTCAGAAAGGTAACAAAACTTATTTAGTCATCTTTTAGCACCTGGTATAATTAAATAATCAATGCAATAATCAATGGCTCTAAACATAAATATAACTTATAATTCTAAAAATAAATTAAAATAGTATTTCTATTAAAACCCTATTATAAATAGCATTTAAGATTTCTTATTGTATTTTAATATTATAAGATATTATTTTTAATGACATTATCAAACCAGAGATTCTAGAGGGATTCTTCACCCGGCTATACGAGTCCACTTCTAAGGCTCATCAAAAACTTCACTTACAATGAATATCACAAGTTCACTAGGTCCGGTAAGTACTTGAAATAATTAAAGTAGTCGCTCTCTGATCGATATTTAATTTTAAGATACTTTTGTAATAAATGCATATAAATCTGCTTTTGGCACCTGTTTTACAATATAATCAACAATTAATACATACTTCGTAATGTAATTTATATAAATAGTGTCTATTCAAAATGTTCATTACTTCACTGTATCCCTGTTTATGAGGTCCGGCCTCTGATCGTTAAACAACACAATTATCGTTAACTATTAATATATTTTTTTTTAATTAATACCATGCTAAAATCATTATTCATGTGTGAATTACCAGATCAAGAATCACAGAATCGGAGTCCCACTCGTGAGCCACTGAATGCAAAAAATTCTTATAAAACGTATAGATATTTCGTCTGCCGTTTAGCAATAAATCCAATTTTATTACAACTAAACCATTGTTTTCCTAATATAATGACAATTAAAATATTAGTTATAATGAATAGGACTAGAGATCACTGACTGAAACATAAGTCCAAAACTGTTTCTCGCAATTATAGGTCGATATGAGTCGCAAACAAAACATTTCAAGCGATCCGTACTTCAGAAGAGAGATCTTATCGTTTTCGCACATACTTTGAAAGGCCGTCAAACTGTTGGACAGTTTGATGATTTTGTAGGCATCCCTCTCGCAGTTGTATGAAAACGCCTGACACGCCATATCCAGATCAGTTGCCTCAAAGGTTATGTTAGTTTTGTA